GGGGGGTAGAGGGGTGAGGGCATCTCTGGTCCCAAGCAAATTATGACACCCTCTCCTCCTCTCAGTGTCGTACACTGTTTGCAGTCACAAATTAGTGCATAAGGCACTTTTTGTCATCCCAAGGGCTCTCGGAAGCCTATGAAACACCACAATTACTGTACTTCACTTGCAGGGCCTGAAACAACCACAGTTAGAATCCTTTGAAAGTCTATACACAAAGCTATAGCTGTACCTGGACAAAGCATCTAAAAAGGGCATAGTATCTAAAAAGTGCATCTAAAATTGGATTCTCAAAGGCTGTGATGCATCTGCGTTAGTTCTGTGCAGAAGCACCCTCAGGCAATGGCCACGCGTGAAGCTCCTTGGCCATTTCTGGTTTTTTTTGCACTACTTGGAGGTAGCCCACACCTTGGCTCGGGCTGCCTGCTTGCGCTTCCCAAGCGGGATGGGATGGGATGGGATGGGAGGCTCCTGCCTCGCTTGTTCCCTGGCACGGGGCAGGGGGATGGAGGCCTGCTAGTGTTTCCTGCCGTCATGGGCAGTAGGACACAGCTCTGCTCAACTGAGGCCTCCAACACCCGTGTCCACTACGGCATGTTCATCACACAACTGCTGATGCACACCAACTTGTTGCCCCACGGTAAACTTCTTCCCTTCCAATAAGCTAGTTTTTGCAAGACAAAGTCTGAGTTTTCATAAATACAGTATATGATGTGGTACACTGCAAACACCATTAGATAAAAACATTCTTTCCAATCTTGTGTTTCTATAAACCATCCCAGCAAATTGCTTCTCTTCCCACCTCCCCCCAGAATAAAAGTTTAGAGCATTAGAGCAACACACTGCTTGATTTGAAAATTTAGCAATTATCAACCTGTTTTGCTTCCTTGGATTGCCTACAGGCAAGACAGGGGTTATTGGCTTTAGGCCAGTTTTACCAAACTTGAGCAGTGACTTGTTATTTCGTGAACGGAAAAGAAAGCTTCCAAGATTTAAGTGGCTGCTATTGACCTTTAGAAATCACTCACCTCACCCTCTCCTTTGGCAGCCAAGTAATTCATTTCTTCTACATCAACAAGCTTTACCTTATTACACGGCATCGGAGCTCCAACATGACCTATGAAACAGAGGAAGTGTTCAATAGCCGCAATGAGCTTTTGGCTAGGTCCTTATACCAATAAACTGTTCACATATTTAAGTTATTCAAAAGAAGGAAAAGAAGTCCCTGATTATCACTGATAAACACTACCAGCTTCTGAACCATGCATCTTTTTACTGTTATAATCCTCCCTCTGTTGACATACCTCACTAGCAGAACTCTCAATATTGCTTGAAATATTAGGATTATTTCAGGTGAGGAATTGGAGGTGTGACAGCTGTGAGAAATGTTAACTGCTTTGACACAAAAGAGAGGCCATTTAGGTTTCCAAAGCTATATTTATACACAACAGGTCCTCATTCTCCAAGGAAAACATCAGCTTGGTACTATGGACTCTTCTATATCCAAGTCAACTTACAAGGTCCATTAAAAATGTGGATTGTGTAACATTCCTAGCTATTAGGAGTGGGGACATGAAAGGATCTTTCCTAAACCTTTTATTATCTCCCTGAGGAAAAACCCTATCTTATGCTGTATGATAGTCACAAGGAACATGAAACGATGCTATCAGCATCCTGACATTTCACGGACATGCAGACCACAGGACTCCATACCTGCTGTCCAGTCACCAGGCAGTGACAGCGAACATCCAGCTGTGCATTCAGTCTGTCCGTAACCCTCATAGAACTAGGGAGGGAAGCCAAAAGCTTAAGTTTCTTGCGTTTTCTTTTTTTTTTTCTTCATTAAAATTAATTTCACTTGCTTTTCTATTTGGGTTTAAATCCGAGTTTAACATAGTTCTCGGCATCTTCTATAGAAAGGATTAACACCATCCTACAAAGAGTCTTATTAAAATACACAATTTCAAGAGCTATTATTCCCCCTTCAGTTCTGATATTTACTTAACATTTTACTTCAATTCACACACACACACACACACAGTACACCTGCACAGACCAAACGTGAAACCAGCAGGGAGAATTCCACAGGAATAAACATTAAGAAGAGGAGAACACTAACAATTAAAGGTTTGTCCAAGGCAGCCAAGAATAATATCGCCACATCCCACCACAGATCTATGGTTATTATATATAGGACAGGCTTCCCCTTTATGTGCAAAGTATTCACTGCTACAACACCATAGCAGTGAAAAACAAGTCATATAGCAGCCCCATATATTTAGAAGTTAGAGTGTTTAGTGTCTCCAATCCTTGACGTTTACCATATCACATTTGTTCCATCCTCTACAAAAATTTGAGATTTTTACCTCAAAAAGCATATACTTCGAAGAATATTTGTCAAGAACAAAAGCAGTTTATGCAAGAACATTAGAGGTTACCCAAACAGTCTTTCCCTTAAGACAGTTCAGTTGGTTACTTCAGTATCACAAAGTCTTTGGGAGATGAACTCTGAAGGAATTCAGTTCGTAAATATGCACTTGCATAGCCTCCAAAGAGAATGCTAAGAATAGTTATCCATGTAATCAGACCACTACAAGTGTGGTCTCATTACAAAGCTTGAATCACTTACTGGAATCTCTATGTTCTGAGTTAAAGCCAGGAAACTCACCTGACAACCTAGAGCTGTTCTTAGGAAGGTCAGGACGCTTGCAGATACAGGTGCTGCTCCCGTGACCATCAGCCTTACTTTTCCTCCTAAACTTGCCTACAACAGACACAAGATACTGTGGACACCAAAAGCATTTTAGAGAGAGGTTTCCAGGGTCTTCTCTCCCACCCTCAACCACTACTCACTCACAAGCACCACCCAGAAATGTTAGAGGTTACAGTATAGTATTCTATAGCAAGTTGGAGTTTTACCCTCATAGTAGCTGGAAGAAATTATATCTCAAACATACAGTACCTACAAATGCTACCAGTGATGTTACTATACCATGGATTCATTCAGAAGCCCAAAAAGCCTAAATTGTGGCCCCACAGCAACAGGTTTGTATTTAAAGCAGTCATACTATAAATCCATCTTGTACCTACTTCTCATGCATCCTGAGCACTGTAATAATCATCCACAGGGGTGCAATCAACATTAGGGTTATGTCAAGTGAATATCATGCGTAACACTAGGTTTACTTATAACAGTGGGGAGGCTGTAGGAGCAACAGGTGGCACTTTAAGATCTAGCTTTCCTCTTTCAGAACGACAATATTTACTTTCAAAAGGAGTAATATAAGGAAGAACCAGGCTGTTTCCAAATAACTTCCTTATTACAAGTAGCAGATTAGTAAAACAAAGAAACTGAAAGATTAGGGTGGAAAAACAAAGCAAGACTGTTTTGAGTTCTATTCTGAATAGCCAGACAGCCTTTTGTCATAGGCTGTATAATATGGCAAGTACATGCCATATTACAGCCATTCATATCAAATTCAGCTATCACAACTGATGTCAATAAGCTACTAGCTAGATGAGATCTAACGGTGATGCTTCATACTTGCACTATGAAAATGACATGTCACTCAGCTGTTCTGTGCCATAAAGGAAGCATATTTGAGGGTTTGTTTACAAAATAATCATCATTACCAAATGAAGTTATCTCTCTCCCAACATCTGTAACAAAGATTCTTAGTAGGCAAGTACAGAGACTTTCAAGCATACCTGTATTTTGCGGAAGATAAGTTTATCCCAGAAACTGTTATTTCTTATTATACCACTTCTCAGTTCTGCTTCTTTCCTCTTTGAAGCAAAATCCAGCATCCACCTCTTCAGTGATGTATTTGCCTGTCCAAAAATCTATTAAGAAGAATGATCTTGCATTAGAAGACTCCAACTACCATTCCCTTTTCTTACAGTAGCATGCATAGAGACTCCTGAGTGAAACAGGTATTTTAAATAATCTTTATGGGTAAATTATTAGTAAAATCCTTATGGAAGAAGCTTGCAGATTTGGATTTTGGTGTCTGCCAAAAATTAGTGTTTAGCTAGTTCTCACTTCACATCCAGCTGTGTGTATTGCTTTCTTGGTGCATTGTTCCTTCATTAGGATGAAAGTAGACATTTGCTTTTTTTTTTTTTTTTGCCATCCCAATTTGATTGAAATTTGAGTTCAGCATAATCCTCAGCATCTTCCAAAAATATCCCCTCCATAACAGAAAAATTATTAGACATACATTAAACAATAAGAAGTTTTCCAGGGAGATACATATGCCTTCAGACGTTTCAAACACAGATTTGTCTAGTATATATAAACTCATTTTTCAGGTCACCTCTGAAAGGTTTTTTTGCAGTTAGAAGCTCGCCAAAAGCAGAGCAGAGACAGACCACAGATTAGCACGTTCACTTTAGGACAGACCCAGCAGCTCCCCTCAGCATTACTGGGGACCCCACCTCAAATTTCCACGTTTGAGCTTCACATGCCAAGTTAGTGCAAGGTCAGTGGGGTTGAACTTGTACCAAAAGTGTGTGAAAAGAGGAGAGGACAGTCCCACATTTTGGCTGTCTTTCTACAGCACCAATATCCACCATTCTGTAAGTTTTAAGTCCTACAGATGAACAGGCAGGTCTCAGGACTTTGTCTTCTCCAAATGGAACAGTCAGGCTATTTGCACTGGGCCAAACAGAACAAACATCATACTACTTGCTGCTTCAAAGTACTTCTTCCAACAGGCAAAGTCCTTGCCTGATCCTCACCTCTAGCTTCACCATTAGAACACTCTCCAAGGGACAAAGCATAGGTCTGCTATTTCTTTAGCAGCCAAAAGTGGTATCCTCCTAACTCCTCCGGCCATATCCTAAGATTAGTCAGTCATCCATATATAAAGGGATGATTTAAAGCCTCAAGTCCAAAGAAGAGAATCAGCTTCTCCATTCCCCCCTCAGATGAGCCAGGTCAGGGTAACAGGCCAACAGAAAGTAGAGTGGAGAGCAGGGCTGCCCACACAGGCTCCCCAGCCCTCCCAAGTGGCTGCTTTGGCTCTCCCTGCTGGATAGGTTGGCTCTTGCATAGGAAACTTGTACACGGCCGTGTGAGAACAGGCAAACACCTGACCTGGGTTTCCAAATTCCACTCCATGAGTCAGAAGCTAAAAGTGTGGCATGCGAACACTAAGCACCACGGTCATGTTGTAGACTGGACTTAATATAGCTTGCTCAGAGCAACGCATTAGGTCAGTAATAAAGCTGGACAAAAGCCAAGTCTCCTGGTTTGCCTTCTCTAACTAGTATTTGCTGCCTGGAAGTGTGGTAATGCAACCAAATACTATTTCCTATACTTTCAGGCGTGTTTAGAAAGGGAGACAACAATTTGTTAGTTTACTGATCAAACCTCCCTGAGCACAGTTACTTCTACCATGCCAGCACAGACTTCAGAAAGATCTGTTAAAACCTTGCCTAGTTCTGGGCTCACCCCTTTAGACTTACCCTGTCAAACATTCTGTTCAACAGTCGCGGTACTACAGGAAATACAGTTGGCTGCAGCGTTTTTAGGTCATCCATAAGTAGCCTGATATCCCCTTGGAAGAATCCTATCCGAGCTCCATGGCATAGAACCACACACTGTTAGAAATAAGGAAAATGTCAGTGAAAACAGTACGTATAGTTTCTTCTACCTATATCTGTGTATGGCAGCCCTAGGTGGGGTGGGCTATGCAGGGTCCACCTTAAACCCCCACAGCATCTGAGCAAGCTCTACAGCAATCGCAGGCTGCAGAGTGGGACAGGAGAGCTCAAGTAGCAAGACATGCCCGTTGTACACAGGCCAGGGACCTTGATATAACGAGATACTGCACAAAAGCCTTTATCTGAAAAGGCAGCTGGCCAAATAAGGCCAAGCCAGTAACACGAGGTAGCAAAGACTGAAAAATGAACTTTCGGAATAGAGAAGTCTTGTTTAACAAGCTTATTAAAATACCATAATTTTGTTTCCTCCTATATGCAGTAAGAAATTCTGCGTTTAAGTCAGCACATGCTACACACTGGTCCAGGAGGAATTTCTCTTGTGTAAATGTTTCATTCTCTTACATATCAACTTCCTTCCTGTTTTACAACATGATTGACATTACCAAGAATTTGCCACCAGGTGATCAAACACTCTTTGGGAGATTCTAGCAAAGAGAGCCAATACTTATTTCTACATCACTTCAGACCTACAGCCAAGGAAGGAAGGCTTAATCCTGTCTTGGTCCCTATTATTTCCAGAATCACCCCCCACCCCACTATCTACATACTGAGTTTTTTCCTCCCCCCACCCTCCCTTATTTTCTTTGTATTTTCTTTATTCTTTAACATCCCTACACATTTTATGTTTCTCTGCCTGCCCAATTCGTTTTCCTTCCCTTCCCCATAACGCTTCTCCTGTCATTTCCTGCCATCCATTGTTGTGCTTTCCAGACAGCAGGCTTGTTCGAGGCTCCCTTTTCCTCTCCACCCATGCTTTGTCACCATCTACTAAAAGAAGCAGATGCACTGGTTCAAATGGAGTAAACAGCAACTGTCTGCGCTTGGTGGGACAGGCACATGGCCTGGCATTTTCTTTGCCCTCCATCTTCTTCAGAAGGCATGGATCAGAGACCACCAACTTTGCAACATTAGCAAGGGACAGGCTTTAAGGACAGCTGCTCACATACTCTGTGTTCATACCTATCCTCAACAGAAAAGGATAATTTCTCCCTAGAGACTGAAAGCTTTTTGCTTAACCACCTCTTTCACAGAGACCACAAACAATGGAATACTCAAATCTCAACCCTCTGCTCCTCATTTTACCTTTTAGAACACAAGTTTCCTTCCCGTTCTATTGGACAACCAAGAACAGAGCTGTTACCCAAAACAGAGCTTGCACCTTCTGATGCAAGATGGAAATCAATAGGACAGGCACCGAAGCATAAGTAGTGCCCAGGTTACCAGGAAAAAACAGTGCTGAAAGTCTATGGGCAACTGCATACCACAGGTCATACCTATTCCCAGTCTTCATGACAAATGTGCACGTGTGTGTGCAAGGCATGCATGTAAATAAAAATATAAAGGACACATTGACCTAGCCTGCTCCGTACAAAGTTCAGCATTTCAAATTGAAATAATGGGGCTCAACTTCTGGCTCTGCATATCTCTGCCTACGTATATGTTTTTTTCAGCAATTGGGATATACCTACTGTCAGCATACACACACCTGTCTTCAGGAATGTGTATCATTTAACTGTGGGATCAAATTTCTTTATTAAGCTGCCCTTAGGTTTATCATCCTCCAAAAGGGAGCCCCAAGTTGTGCCAAAAGATAAAACAAACTATCCAAGAGACTTCAGAGCCATTACCATCCATTTTCTTTAGGCAGAGGGGAAGGGCAGTATGACACCATAGACAAGAAAAATAATAAAATCATAGCATTATTAGCATTGGAAAAGACCTTCAAGATCCAGTCCAACTGTAAACCCACCATGACTATGCCTCCTAAAGCATAAGCAAAAAGAGAAAAGCCCTACTCCACTGAGATAATCTTCCCTCGCCTCTTTTTTTAAAACCATTTTCTTATTAACTCTAGCTCTTAGCTTAGGGCTTATATTTAGGCATGATAACAAGTTGTCTAGTACTCACTGTTCACAGGATATTGCTTTCCCGAGCCTTACCTCAACCAACCTTTCAAACATGTGTGCAAGAGGCAAAAAGGAATAGTGTGTATCACTGGGATTCAATAAAAATGCACTCTGCAAGAAAAAATAAGTTTCAATAGTTCTGTAGAACAAACTGATGCCTACCTCAACAATTCTTTCAAACATATGAGCCAAGGGCAGGAATGATATCAGAGTGTCATCAAGGGAAGGTATGAATGCTTTCTGAAAGTAAGAGTTCAGCGAAAGAGAATTAATGAGAATTAAATTTAATTATTGCTAATTAAATACAGTAATGTGTAATCAGACATCTGAGCTCTTCAGTTTCGCCTGTAATGAAACCACATTTTGTTTTTTTCTTTCATTAAAAATATTATATGAGTTAGAAGTCACTGCTGTAAACAGACATTACAGAAATTATAGCTGTTTGTTAGAGTCAAGTACAGTAATCATTCAGCTTATTGCAATTTATCATTTGTAAGGTTATGCATAGAAACAGTTTGAAAGAAGCCACAGAAAATTCAATTATAGACATTGTGAAAAGAAAAATTAAAGTAATAGTATGCCTTAGGAGTACAATATCACAGTCTAAGCCATCTTAGGTCAGAAGTTCTTTGTCAAGTTTGCTGCAGGAGTTAGGCTGTCACATTTATGGCAGGAGCATATTACACAATCTAACCACAAGATCAATATCTTAACTTGATTTCATATGCGAAGTATACGGCAAAACAACATGGTTACATTGGTTTTGTTAGATCTTAGAATTGTCTTCAGAGGCGGCCTATGAATGAACTTTAGTAGCCTACTGTAAACTAAAAGTCTGTCCTAAGTGTCAATATGTTCAATTATCCTTCTCACACATTCATGCAAGTATTTCCTCCCCATTCTTAATGGGTCTGTGCATCTCTGACGGAGAGCTTGCACCGCTGACGGCCACGATGACTCTGACAGAATGCAATGCATATTCCCATCTGTAACATCAGCCCAAACCCTAGGCATGGCACAATGAAACTCTGCTTTTCTCTCCACACTCCTGGATTATCACACTTAAGTGGAAAGGCCTTGGGGCCAGGGAAGCAAACAGTGCTGTGCCCACAGCTCCCCAGCAAGGTGACCCCGCGCAAGGCCCACAGCTGAAGCCAACACATCATTTTGGGCTGAGAAAAGCAGACTTCAGTAGCAGCAGAATTACTTTATTCTAGACCTTTCCATACTGCTCAAGATCTAGAGGAATGGCCTGAATGTTACCTCAGTGCCCAGCTTTGGGGACATCCACGCTGCCCAAGGCAGTTTGTATTACAAGTTCCCAGGTCGTGCCAGACCAGGGACTGTTGTTATGCAGCAATACAGGCTTGGGCAGAAGGAAACAAAAGCGTCCCCAGGAAGAGCCAGGAGATCCGCACTGGTCTGTGCGCAGCCCTGTGCTACCATGAGGCTGTTTCTAGTCCAGAGCTACATTCAGAAGAAACTAGGAGAGTTCCCCATGTTGAGAGAAGAAACCAGTAAGATCTATACAAGCAAATCCAATTAAATCTAGAACTTAGAGCTTTATCCATTCTTACATGGGAGGGCATTAAAAATGAAACGAATACACATACACAAAAATCTTTCAAATTTATCATGAATCACTATGCAACTTCTCACACATCTTCCAAAGCAAAAGAAAGGGGCCTCAAACACCAACCGACTTCAGAACTACTATTGACATAGTACTTGGCGTGCTGCCAAGCTTCATTTTCACTTGGATTTTACTGTGTTAAGACAAAAGTTACTGAAATCACAATGTCGTTTTTACTGCTAGGATACTTCCCCTCATTTTAAGTTACACATGGTACAAATCCACAACGTTAACCTTGCTGTTTACCTCTGTAGCTTTCACAAAAGCTGAAGTATTGCTGACTATGTTTTGATGAGTTATCATAGCTCCTTTGGGGTTTCCTGGGGAAGAAGCACATCAGGATGAAACAGTGAGATTTTTAGGTCCCTAAAATTATGTAGCAGAAGGCTAAACAAATGCATTTTATCAATCAGCAATCAGTCCCTTCTCAGATAATAATACCTTTGTGTGCTACACAAAGGCAGAGAATAGGCTAACATATTTGCAAAACATACATGCATATATACATAGCTTGTAATAGTGAAGGTATGTTGAAGTCATATTAATTATGAGACCAAATCTTAAGAAACCACTATATCTCTTGAATAAAATTCTGTAATCCAAAATTAAATACTTCTGTGAAGATCCATCTATTGAACTTGGAGACTCTTTACTTGGTCCTGGTTTAAAGATATAACTAATATAGTGCTTTTCCCAACACTCTCCCCACTGTTGGATCGTGTCGCACACCTGAAATTTGTTTCTCATCTAGGCGTTTTTTGTTTTCAGTTCTACAGTAAGCTGCATATTGCATAAGAGCTAAGAAAAAGATCCTGCTCTTTCATTTTTTCAGTATTTATTTAACTGAAGGTCTGAGATATGATCCAGGACCCCTATCATAATGGAAATAGTTTCAGTACCTATTTTTGAGCACAAAAAATATAGCCTCCTCACACTTCCAAGATATTGCAACTCTTTATTGGTCAATTGGAAACATCAAAGGGAGTCTTACCATAGAACTTCCCCAGCTACTACTTGCCAAAAAGATGCAGCAGCAGAGGGGAGTCTTGGAAAAAAAAGTAGGATTGCTTCTGCATTAGTTTTACACAAACAGGATAATAATTCTGCATAATGTAATGAGTAGTACCTGTCGTTCCACTGGTGAAACAGATCACTGCTAGATCTTCTGGCTTTGGAGGCTATGAAAGTTAAGAAAGTATTAGTATGGTTAAGATAGCAAGGAAAAAGATTTTCCTGGATAAAACACTGAAATACTAGTGTTACCTTGAGCTAAGGGAGACAGGTAGATTGACTAGGTTGGTCTACAGAACGCTACCCAACTTGGATTAAACTGATTGAACTAATTTCATGCTTACCATAGGTTTTTGCCTGTGTACTCTTCCCAGCTCCTACAGAAGGGGGAAGAAGGGAAGAAAGATTGTTTAGACATGAAAGCACTGCATTTGCTTTAAGTTTACCAGACAAGACGTCATCAAACACTATAATGTTTTATTGTTTAGACTGTTTGGGCATTTTAACCATAAAAAGTCTTGTGAAGGCTTTAAAGCAAGTTTTAGAAGATGCAAAAGAACAGATGAACTAGTGTGTGCTACAAATACAGAAGTGCTAACTAGTCTAAAACACGTGTATGCATCATTTTTTTTCCCCCTCAATAAAATCATTTATAAGAAGCTCAAGAGTAAGCAGTGTCATGACAAGTCATAACACATAGAAGACACGTGCTACTGACAGTCTTTGGCCAGATGACGCATGACCCATTTTAATAGGCACTTCACGTGTACTTCGCTGTTTAAGAAGCCTGTGATGAGAGGTCTTTGGTGGTCTGTACTCCCTTTGCACTGAAGAGTGCAGAGTATGAAGTTCACTTTCCCCCAGGGCCTCCCTTTCTTCTTTCTCCCTCCTTACCATAATTTAGGCCAAATCATTAAGGATGTCACAGATCTTCAGGGAAACAGTTCCCAAATATATCCTTTTACCAGTAGAAGACTAGAAGACATTACAATAAACAGGAGAGTTTTGAAAGTTTAAGCTCAATATTTTTGAGCTTAAAGCTTTTAAGTCTAGACTTCCTAACTCCGCTTATTTAGCATTAGAAACGATACTAGTTTAGAAACTTATGCAAGACAGTCCTTTTGTTAATCATAGGTTTGGAAGCACCTCTGAGGGCAGATACATCACTTGCCCATTGCCTTTGCGTTCCAAGTGCATGTTCATTTACTAGCCCTAGCATTGCTTTAGCTTGGTTAGCTGAAGAGGGGTATCAATAAGATCCTATGCAGGGGCAGGAAGCAAATACCAGGAAAAAGCAGTTAACATGCCCATGCCTAGAAGTTTGCCTTTTTGACACTGTGCCACTGCACAAAAGTTTGCCCATATGACAACCCCACTGTCTGTGGAAACAACAGCAGCCACATTCCAGAGGCCACTAGAAAGTCAGCACTTTTCTACAGCTTGTTTTAAGTAAGATTCACTGTTTACCTAATATACAACCAAAAACTCTATCCACTTCTCACCTAGGAGATCAACTGTAACATTTCTCCCTGTTTAACACCCATTGACTCACAGCTACACAGCTCTTAAGTAACTATACCACACATACATGTAGTAGGTAGAAACCAGGCTTACAGCATCTGGAAGATGCCCAGATGTTCAAATAACCTAGGAAGCACAGATGAACAAGATGCTCAAGGCAGAAATCTAGAAAACAACTACCATGTTCACCCAAGCATCATGTGCTTGAGCTATAATAGTATAGTTAAGTCAGAACTACAATGTACTTCGGAAAACTCCCTAAGCATCTAATTTTAAGCATCCAACTTTAATCCAACCCTTCTCCCAGTCTAGCATAACACTGTACGAGTCATTGATTCTGCATGGTATCTCTAGCTCCCTTACAGCCTGGCCGAGGTAGGTTACCTAAGATACAATCCACTGTCTTTTAAAAGCTATGCTGGCACTTTTTTCTCGTTACCAGAAGGTGGCCCCATTAACACAGAAAACAGCTGGGAAAACAAGTTTACTAAAGTTCAATGAAATTTAGCAATTCCTGCCAGTTACCAAGACACCTGCAGAACTCAACCATGATTATTTGGAAGTGCTAAAGTCTCAGTGAGTCAAGTCTTGACAAGAATTCAAGTTGGAACCAGGCTAAACCCTGTTTCATAATTTCACAATAGAAGTGTACACCATGCAGTTACAGCTGAGACCGATTTCTTCAATAACAAAACTGCAACAAAAGGTACTTGCAGACAAGATCACCACAGACACAACTATAAGACCTTGAATACTAAGTAGCTAGGCAAAACCCCAAAATCACACTGCCTTAATTACCACAGACTATTTTTGGAAAGATCAGATAATATTCTTCATCTCCCCCTACAAAAGTTTTGTAGATTCAGTGCACAGAGCAAGATAACATTTTACTACAAATCAAGACCTACAGAGATTCTTACTGCAGTCAGTATTTTGAAGCATGACCAGCATTGCTATGTGTGATTATCATTTCTTACTGCTTCACACAGGCAAGGCAATGCCCAGACCTTATGTTCTTTGGACCACATTAACAAGCTTTTGCACCAATAACTTGGCAACCATGATTTTACATTTGGCACACTGCGAGATGCCACTAGCGAGTTGTTTTCCTTCTTTGAAAATATCTATTTAAAAGACTTTGTTTAATTAACTCTTGAACTTTAAGTAGTCTGAAACTATTCCACCACACTGTGTTCAGAGTCCTGAAACCTGTTCAGTAAACTTGTCCAAAGTAAAGGAGCTGAAAGCAGTAAAGCAGGTTAAGTCTACTTACCACTATTTCTCTCATGCTGAAGATTTCTACCCCACACTTTTTGCCACGTTCCACAAGGTCTACACCAAAAGGCTCCATGATAACAATGGTGTTGAGGACTGGAGTCTCCCCCTTTTCCACACTGGTTAGCAGAAGCTTGGCCTTGTCAGGTTTGTCACAGAAAACCAATGACAAGTCAGCTGAGTAAGGAGAACGACAACATAAATAAGACAAAGGGAATTTAGACTAGATCCATACTTCAACATTTGGTACTATAAGACTCTTCTAGTCTGAAGATGACTAGAGTTCTACCCTGTGAGCTCTGCCCTCACACACACAGTTGCATATCTACTGAAGACGTCCTACCTTTGTTCACAATGTAAGTAATAGCTTCAGTTCCCAGCGTGTCGTAGAGCGGCACCACCACCAAGGAGTACGTATAGCATGCCTGTTCGATGATAACCCACTGCACAGGGAGAGAAGAGATGCGAGTCACTGCGCGTCTCCTGGTCAAAGCACACCTCCAGGAACTGCTCTTACTAGGATTCTGACGGGGAAGCCATTAGGGCAGAGCTCATTTGGGCAAGTCTTCAAGTGTGCATACATGTAGATAAAGTGTGCAGTGTAGATAAAGTACGCATACATGTGTTTACTATTAAGACCTACTAAATTTTTAACTGAGGGAGGAAGAAGAGTAAGGAATCCCAGGTGAGTCTTACCGAGTTCAGTAAAACTCAGTGCTGTCTTTAACACAGCATAGGCAAGTACTTCTAAAGCCAGTTAGCATATATGAGCTCTTTTTAACTTAGCCCCCAACAGAAAGAAATTTGGAGTACATCAATACCGCTTCATGTTTTCAGGTCATCAGGTAAGGCTTTAAGTAGTCTGAAACTATTCCACCACACTGTGTTCAGAGTCCTTTGATATTCTTGATATTGATATCAAGATATTCTTGATATTCTGGATTATCATGGCCTTTGATATTCTGGATTATCACAGTATGAATTAGTAAAGGATCTGCTCAAGTCTTGGCATACATTATGTTTCTACACACACTCTGTTCTTGGGTCTACATTAAATGCCTCTCATTTGATGGCCAGACATGTAACATAGTGTAGGAACCAGCAGAGTTTTTTGGAAAGTAAGACCAGAATGTTGCTCAGCATCAGTCACCACTAACCATTCCCCTTTAGAGGGATCTAATGATAAAGAAGAAAGCAGAAGACATCCATCCCTGCAAGCTGGGTTAGAGGGATTTGTCTACTAACAAGTGTATTCAATAAACATAAAAGATTATGTGCAACGTAAGCCGATGATGCTTTTTGTGATGCTGCTAGCCTAATTTTTATCCAAAGCACTGTTAAGATAAGGTAGTCATGCAATTTTCTGTACAGTAGTTATTTGGCAATGTCTGTACACATCTACCAAAATATAGCCATGTGTGGAACTCCAGGAGTGAGAGATTCTGGACACAAGAGAAGGCCAATTCAATTTTCTCCTGAAGGACAAAAATTCTCAGACATTGCACCCTTGGCCAGTTCCAGTTGATTGAACAGGACACCATTCTCTAAACTCACTGGACTTAGCATTCAGCAAGGATTGCAATAAGGGGGTTGGCTCTTTCTCCCACCCCCAGTCTGCACTTAATCAAACTTTCCAGTGTTTTTGCAGGACACTGGCCAATTACTTCACTGACACATAGTATTATTCCATATAACATCCAACATAGAAACTGCATTAACAAAATTGCTAAGCCTCAATTTTATAGTGTGTTTACTAAGGGCAAATTTCCTAAGTTAAATTTTTATGTACTGTCAGGACGGTCAAACTCAAAGAATATGAGGTATTTACACAATAAGTTGTGCCCTCATTCCCAAAGAACACTTCTTATAAAGCTAGCACAGCGACAGCTACCAGCTGGGCAGAATTTCACACAAACATTCCTCTTCCTGGCAAGTCTAAGCAA